TATCATAAGTTATCATAAATTATGACATAAGTTATGAGTTAAGAAAATAAATAACTTAAGTTATCAAAATAAATATCATAAGTTGTCATAATTTATGACATAAGTTATGAGTTATGAAAATTAATAACTTAAGTTATCAAAAATAAATCTCATAAGTTATTAAAATAAATGTGAGTCATAAATAAAAATATAACATTCAAGTCAACTAATATGGGAAAGCCGATCGGACGGGATAACTACCTTCAGGTTGGGGACCAATCTGAAGGAAGATCTATTTCCTCGGTATCCCCAACCACCTTAGAGACTGTTCAAGGACCTCTCACCAAGTTACCAAGGATCGATAAGTAAGCCAAAACAACTAATCGACCCAATGTTGACCAAGCTAAGCTGATCCCACCAACCCACAACCAACAAGCTTAGCCGACTGAGCTACCCTACCAACCCAAAGCCAAATAAGAATGCCCGACCAAGTCAAAAGCAACTGAGCTATAGACTCAACTACATAAAATATAAAAAATATCCCAGTACAAACCTCAATAAAACAGAAAAAAAAATATATAGAATCATCATATTGTACTCTCTCCTCTATATATACATAGATTATAACAATAATGAAAATATCAAAGATGATAAATCTTAAACTTTACTGCACTATGCGCTTATTAATTTGATCTCTATAATTCTTAAAATTCTTCTATTATTACTATTTTCTTAATTTATTCCATAAATGGTCGCAACTGCATGCCAAGCCTTCTCCCTGAAGCCTTATCCTTTTAGTGGGTTGAGAAAATATTACAGCAGGACTCCTAACACAGTTTGCGTTCGGAGTCCAATGATAGGGCGCCACGTGTCAAGTGGCCCCGCCGAAATACATTATCATTGGCCAATGTTAAAAACGGTGGAGCCCACTTAACACGTGGCGCCCCACCGTTGGACTCCGAATGCATTACGAGTCCTGATGTAATATTTTTCCTAGTGGGTCCCACATTCGATGGCTTAATGGCATACAAGAACGTTAAATATCTTATACTGATTCAAATAATTGATATAGCTTTGAAAGTGGCCCTTTTAAACTTTGACTTAATGCCAGTTGTTTGATTAACAGAGGGAGATTGTATCACGCTAAATCTCTTCATATCATTGCTTAATTATAAATGTAGCCGAAGTTATGAAAATATGAATTGCCGACTTTAGTCAAGATGGCTGAACAGGCCCAACCTGTCCCATCATTCATTTGGCCGACCAACCTGGCCATATTGTCATCTTCTTTGCTATTGTTTTATGCAATGCACTTGACAATTTGCTGTTTACAAAGCTAGATGCTATTTAACTAAGGCCATTAACGATTCGATTTTGAGCAGAGAACTCGCATTAGTTTCCTCTTTACACAAGAAAACATACAAAACTCGCTCGATACCCTTCCTGCTTTGATCAACCGCGAAAAACACTGGTCAATATCTCAGAAATCCTTATGTCTGACGCTTCTCTTCTTCATCAGAAAATTGTCGAAGAAACCTTGCGCAAGAACTCACAAATTACGTAACTTAATACCAAAAAACAGAGTAACTGCACCAGGCTCAAAAGTGCTCGAAACTGGCACAAAAGTTTCTCAGGTAGCAAAGAAGTTGTGCCCAACAACTTGGGTGCTTGAGCGCCCAAGCGGCGCTCGAGCGCTAGCTTTGTAGCCAGTGCCTAAAAGTTGGGTGCTTGGGTGCCTAAAGGGGGCGCAAAGACACCCCCTTATCTGTATTCACCCCAAAGTGGGCGCTTGAGTGCTCACACCCAGATGCTTAGGCGTCGAGTGATCGGTCTAGAAATGGTCATCTGGGTGCTTCAGTTCCATAACCCCAACAATCTCCCACTTGAAGACTATAGCACCCAACACCAGTGCTCTATACTTGCGCCTCCACTGAATCGCCTTCATAATCACGTACTGTGGTGTGTCTCATCCCTCGGTCTCAATCTTCATGAAACTAGCATCCATCTTCAACATATCTATAGGATTATGGGTTGTGTGTATCTTCTCTACGAACAATTGTCCATCTTCAAGGAGAGAGCGAATAAAATGATACTCAGTTGAATGTGTTTCATCCTGACATGAAAATTTGTGTTCTTAACAAGATGAATCACACTTATACTGTCACTGTAGAGTTTTCAAATCCTTTGTTCCTTACTCAATTGTTATGAAACGTTGTAGTCAAATCATCTCCTTGCTAGCTACAATGATAACAATATATTCGACCTCCGTAGTTGATAGTTCAACGTTCTTCTGCAACCTGGAAGCCCAACTCATCGTAGTGTTCCCCAATGTAAAAATATACCCCATTGTACTTCTCCTACCGTGCACATCTCTTGTCAGATATGAATCTACAAATCCTTGTAAATTGATCTCAACACTTCCATAGCAAAGTGCAATGTTGAATGTTCCCCTCAAATACATGAGAATCCACTTTACTGTCTCCCAATAATGTTTGTATGGATTGCCCATGTACCTGTTGACCATTCTCGCTGCGTATGCAATATCTGGTATGGTACAATTCATTGTATACATCAAACATTCAACTGCTGAAGCATACTACGTTTTCTACATTTGTGCTTGTTATGCTTCAGATTTAGGTGATAACTCTTTCAAAAAGTTTGAAGTGGCTACCATAGGGAGTGCTAACTAGTTTCGCTTTACTCGTGTTGAACTCTGTAGGATCTTCTTAACATGCTTTCCCTAAGACAACTTCAGTGTTCATGCACTCTTGTCCTTGTTAATTCTCATCCCGAGGATCTTCCTGGTTAAACCTAAATCCTTCAACTTGAACTCACTTGATAACTGTTTCTTCAAGTCTCTGATTTTCTTCATATCTGACTCTACAATCAGAATGTCATTCACACATAAAAGAAGTAGAATATAATAATTATTGAAGTGTTTGATGAATAAGTGTGATCGATCAGGTACTTTAAGTACCCATTGTCAGACATGAGCCAAAATTGAGATCAATTTTTGAGTGATTAACAATCCTCGAGCTAAAATCGCTAAAGTCACAACCCTAACATCAGTAGGATTGTTAATGATTCGATTTCAAGCCAAGCTGGGGACAGCTCAATAAAAATTTTATTCAAAACTTTGGCTCGTAGTTCGACTCATTTATTTTAATCTGAGCCAGAATTCAAATCAACTTTTGAACGATTAACAATTTTAGAGCTAAATTCACACCCCTTCATGTAATTTTTCTTTAAACTATTATGTTGATGCATTAACGCATACCACAATCAAATCATTGAAAATTTGTTAGAAATGAGAAATATGAGTTGTTTATTCTTCTTTTATTTATTTATTTTATTTATTTTTTGGCCTTTTGGCTTAATCTCATCTCTCTTTTTTAAGAAAAAAAAAAAAAAAAAAAAAAAAACAAATAGAATGACCACTAGAATGACAAATAGAATGACCTTTAGAATAACACATTAATTCAAGTTAGTGCTATAATAAAATGACAAGTAAAATGACCATTAGAATGCACTTAATATAAAACATACAATATAAATATATGAACACGTTTAACAATTTTTAAATAAAATATTGAATTTCAATATATTTTCAGAGTATTTAATATTCATATTCTTCTAAATGAGTTGTAAATCGAGTTAAAACTGACTCAAGCTTAACTCGTTAGCTCATCAAACTCAGCTCGAGAGCCGGTACTCATTGATCCAAGTCCAAGCTCCCAAGTAACAATGACTAAAAGCAAGTGGGGTCTGGGAGCCAATTGGCAATACTTAGTGCTAATTGCAGTTCATGCTCATCTAATTACCATATTTTGTCCATTTTAATTATCTTTTAACCATGTGGCTATTTCGTTAACTTCGACAAGAAAAAGCCAGGACAAGGCTTTTCTCCTGAGCATATTATGACAATAGAATCTACTTAAAATTATGATGTAAAAGAGTTCAAAATCACATATTTAATTATTTTATTTTTAATCAATAGATATAAGAAGATTAAAATATGTCTACTATTTTGAAGGCATTTTTGTCACGTTTATGAGTATGGAGATTTTATTTGGCATTTACATATCTACCATATAGTTCTTAAGTATTTACATATTTTATGCCTAAATTTTTATATTCACATTCATGGCTACAATAAATATAGGTTTTAGTTGCGATGATCTTAGCCTATGGCAGTAATTGTTAGCATCAATTTTTTGATGTCACGAGTGTAAGGTGTCCACTTGCACGATTTGCGATGATTTATCGTTAGTCCATAGCATCTGACAACTCAAGACTCCAACCTGAGACTCTCTAGCACTTGTTTGGCGCAAAGAGCTATGGTTGACGGTGATTAAGCTTTACCCGGGAGAACCTGCCATCAGAAAAGTTCATTCAGGACACGAGACATATTTGGTGTCTATTCTAATGTTTAGAAGTCACCGAACGTCCGTCTGGAGCCTCTTGTGACCAATGGAAGCCACGGGATTTTCCTACACGCATTACGGGATAGTTAGGGTTTAGGACACCCTACCCTAAGACGACCGTGGGCAACGACTTTTTCCGGTGGATGATCGATCAAAATACTATTTTCTAGAGTTATGGGACCACATTTCATATGGAATCTCTCATAGCTTAAGAATCGAAAAAATCCTCCGTTGGGTATTCTCACTGAAAATCAGCGTTTTGGGGTCAGGTCGGCACCCCGATGTCGACCCCGGGCGCCTAGGTGCCCAAAACTGCTTTCTAGGACACCTAACCAAAGCCATTGGAAGTCTGGAGCCAGTCCACACTGCCTGGGCTCAATACTGGGTGCTTAGGTGCCAATTCAGAGCTAAATTTGTCTGTCATATTCAATATTTTCTGTCGCAAACCTGTTGTTCATCCGATGCTAAAACATTACGTCAGATTTTCGGATGTCGGTACATTCTCAATAGTAACCGACACAAATAAGACAAATCAAACGCAAATAATTTACGTCAAACTATTTTCAACACACATTCGATGTAAATTATATTATCGACCCCTGATTTAATCGTGAAAATAAGTGTACTTAAAACGGACACAAATCCTACAATAATTCCTTATTAGCAACCGATTTACCATCGTTTTGCATCCGATATGTCAGACACAAATTTGCTCAATTTTTGTAAAGTGACTCTGCCCCAACTTGTTAATCCTGCAAAATAAGAACTTATATCACTTCAAATTATAAATTAACAACTATGAACATTACATATGACAAGCACAATGAAAATATTTAATATTAACGACATACTCATCTAATTTATAGACATATTTTAAGATGATCAACTTGTAAAGTATTACAGTATGGAGGGGTATATTAACTTTGAGAAGTTTACTTGATAAAATGAAGTCCTGGTAGTAGGAGTTAGTCTATATTAGTAGTGGTTATTTGCATGTCATTAGGAATGAAGCAAAACACAGGGAAACTGAAGGCAACTTCAGCCACCATTGGTGGTGCTACCTCACAGCAGACATGAGAATAGACAAACTAAACCAAATCAATCCAGATCAAGTCAAACCAGGCTTGTATCTCTTTATCAATTTAAGTTAGTGCAAACAGCGTCAATATAGTTTGGTCAGTAATTTTGTCAGACTAAGTAAAATCAAGCACCAGTTCAGTTCTTTTGAATGCCTTTGAGATTCATAATTTGCTTTGAAAGTTGTGTTTGAATAACTAAATTCTTCTTAAGAGAATTGAGTATAATCCGATTAAATAAGATAGGAGAGAGAGAGAGAAGTGTATAGTAATGAATAGTAATCAGTCTTATTAATTTGTTCTTTCTAATAAATTAATGAACTTTTTATTTATATAGAAGAATGTATAATATATGAAGTTACATGTTAGCCCTTGTTTTAGTGAGGCCGTTATAAGGTATTTTACGTTTGTGAGTCTGTGGCTCAACTACCTTCTGGCTCGGTCGACTGAGCTTGGTAGGTTTTGGTTTGGTAAGGCTTGCTTGGTCGCCTATGCTGAGTTGGCACAGCTGGTCCGTTGATCTTATCTGACTTTGGGTCGATAGGACTGCTTTGATCGGCTAGATGTTGTTGATCGACTAAACTAACTTGACTATCGACTATTGATCTTTGAATGAGAAGCATATGTCGGAGGAATGAGGCTATGCTATTGAACAGATGGTGAATCACCATAACTTGATAGATAGCTCATTCCTTGACGATGAGGGTTCTTCGGGATATTTTTGGGCTATGTTTCTTGACTCCTAATAAAAAATCTCAGGGGCGTCCTTGAGACGATTGAAGATGCAAAATTCTTTATTTGAGTTGGATTACAATGATAGGCAGGCCGATGCCTTAGCTCTACCCAACCAGTCTTATTCTTTAGTTCAGGTGGCCTACATCCAGTCCGAATAGGGGGTTGCATTTTGCCAAACAAGCGGTTTATTTAGTCTTTCATATGAGGGCACTCCTTCGTTGTACTTCTTTTCTCGTGAACAGCTGGATCTTCTTGAGATTCATGCAGACGCATTCCTGACGTACTCCCACGAATATAAAATGTATTGTTCACGAGACTTCATTAATCTGCTATCAGAGATCGTTATCTGCAGTATCTTTGCCTGACTTGCTGATCCAAGAGCCTCTTCCATTTGGCTTGAGAACTTTTGTGCCTCAGATTTTTTTTGGTAGCCGTGAAGTTTTTGTCCTCTTTTATGTTTCCAATATTAAGTAATCGCCTTGTTTTCAAAACTAAGAAACAGTCCCGTGTATTGTTAGCATGCCATCCAAAACAAATGAAATGCTTATCGTAAATTACTTAACAAAAGAACATGTCATTAGAAATTCTTGCCTTTAACATTAATCTATATCATGCTCAATATATCTATATCAAATATATCTATATATATATATATATATATTATATATATATATATATATATAGAGAGAGAGAGAGAGAGAGAGAGAGAGAGAGAGAGAGAGAGAGAGAGAGAGAACAAAATAAAACAGCTTAAAGTATATTGTAATGTTGTTTGGATTATTGTAGCCAAACTTGCTAGTATTGTTGTTGACTTGGGAAAGGACATAGATCTTCAAACTTAGTTAAATGTGTACGCATCATTTAGAGGTAGATTGGCTGAGAGTATCGGAAAAAAAAGTAATAATAAAATAGTTTGTGAATCCATGCAATGACCTGACAACAGAAGATAAAAAATATTGACAAGATATTTTCACAATCTGTGAAGAAATCATGAATGAATTTGGTGGTCTAAACAAATATATATAATTTTTCCTAATTACATTTATATCTTCTTTACAAGTTGTTTGATTTAATTTGAAATAATCTCAAATCTAGGTAAATTGACTTCACAACATAAACTAACATGTCAAATATCAATTTGAACATTGTTTTGAAAGAGTTGGTAAATATATAATTTCAAAATTCATCAACATACCCCTCTAATTTGAAACCTTATGTTGAATCTGAGAAGGTTCTGTGAATCACACCCAATGAAAAGAACGTATGATAGGAGGAAGAAGGAAATAATGAGAAATGGGTGCTCTAGTGAAACAGTAGAAGGAGGGAACTGTGTAATATTTTATCTATGAAATGATTTCGTTATATATAGACAAATTGGGTACAAAAATTGAAGTTAGATTTTTTGCCTTTGTTGAAGTGTGGTATTTATAGGTTATTTTAGGAATTATATCCCTATGGGCCCCTGGACTTGCTGTTCTTTTTCTAGGTCGTATGGGCCGACAAGGTGAGCTGCTTAATACTGTTGGTCGCCCAATCGATGGACCTTTTAGGTAAGGTAGATCGACTTGATTTTTGAAGATAATCAACATGATTGATCCAGTCGGTTGGCATTAGATTATAAGACGTATTAATCTGGTCATCATCCCTCAATTTACGTCGGGGAATATGTGTGAGTTGGGTAAAGCTAGGCCCCCTGACAAAGGGTGAGTCTATTGTTAATTTACTCATTAAGCAAAAGGCTCCCTAGCAAAGGGTGAGAAGATGGGTAATTTACTCATTGAGAAAGGAGATCACGCTAAAAGTTGTCTCTGACGTTAGGAGGCATCGCTCAGACATTGAGTAGCATGAAACTATCAGTCTTATATGCCACTGGGTTATTATCTAATGGGCCCACCTTTGCCTCGTGATCTTTTCTTAGGACGTTGGATTGCCTCAACATTCGTATCGACACATTTTCTGTGTACACCTTTGCATAGCTTCTTCATTTGAAATCCAAAATATAATAAATTTCCACCAATAATAAATCTAGATATTTAAAAGACAAAAAAAAACCTAAATTAAATAGTTTTGATTAAAAATGAGTATAAAATAAACACAATATTAAATAAAATCAATAATTCATAGAAAATTCATTTGGAATTAAAATGTTTTGAAAATTTCAAAGTGCAATTAGTTTCCAATTTTAAATATCTCTGTACAATTCATAATGTTTAGGTATCATTTAGTTTTTTATGAGTTTTTAATTTAAAAATATATTGAAAATTCAAGAAATTATAAAATTAATAATAATAATTCAAAAAACCATAAAACTTTCACAAATCATGTTTGAAGTTAATAAATCATGTTTGACGTTAAAAAAAACTTATAAAAATAAATAAATACAGGATAGTTTTTAACTATTTAAGTCAAAATATACAAACCTTTTCAAAAATTCAAGATAAATTAAATTTAAATTATAAAAATTCACTAAGCAAATAAAACTCTTTAAATCTTATTTTTATTGCTTTATAAGATCTCTAACTTCTTCAAATGGTTTGACACACACACACACACACACACACACACACACACACACACACACACACACACACACACACACACACACACACACACACACACACACACAAACACACACAAAGAAGCAACTTCTCTACATCTCATTGTGTACGCTGATCATCTAGAATATGTAATAACAAAACTTTCATAAAATGAAACAAAGATATGCAACATATGTCAACTATAAAATTACTTCTATTCGAGTTGCAATAAATGTTAACAAATAAGAGATATACATACCAATGAGCCAAACTCCGTCATCAAAACATGAGGCATGCTCTCCAATAATATAGAATGGTTGTCATAGCAGATCCTGCGTGCCATTGTTTTCATGCTCATGGGAGTCAGTACGAGCAGGAGTTTTAGCTACTTTACTACTCTCCCCTTCACTAGACCCGCTTCATGATACTAATATTTTTGCTCGTCTCATAAGCCTCCTGTCATTTCTATAAAATATATAAATTGATTAGTAAGTTCGGAAGAAGAGTAATCATCTTTTGCACTCTCCCTCGGTAAATTGGCATCCTTTTTATAGCCTCAAGCATAAAACAACTAATGAGCACAAGTGACATAACTTTATATGAAGAATTTCAAATAGTAATTAAAGTGACAAGAAATGAAAACTTTACTTAATGTTCAATTTCCTCATTAAGAAGACAGCCCTGCTGAGTTTAATAAGTAGGAAAATCATGCTAATCAAATATTGTAAGAGAAAGCTCAACATATCCAGCAGGTATTCTATGCATCATTAAAGTGGCTAACATAACATAGAAAAAACAAACTCAAGAAGTATTCAGCCACAAAAAGCATATAAAAAGCCTATAAGAAGTAAAATATGGACTAGATGTATAACCTCGATGTAGTTCCTCAAAGAGAAATGATAAAAACTATACAATATTGCAGATTCATCCTTATTTCAGTAGAGAATATAAGAAAATAAAACAACCTGCAGCGTTATCACATTTACTGAAATCAGTATATGAAGAAACTTTTGGTCATGTAATAGCAGATATAAGAAGAAAAAATGATCATAGCCAAACACTGAGAAGTATTAAAAGTATATATATAATTATATGTAAGAATCACATATAATTAAATCTGATCTTAATATCTGTGCATATGTGATTGAAGATATATCTTCCTTGAATAAGTACAAAGATCTACATGGTCATGTCTTTAATATATGCACAGCAGCAGCAGCAGCAGCAACAACAACAACAACAACAACAAACCTTTATCCCACAAACATGGGGTCAGCTACATGAATCATTTTTCTCCATTGTGCCCTATTGAGTGTCTTTAATATATGTGCAAGTTAACAAAATCAATGTATAAGGATACAGGTATACTTTCTAGGCCTTATGGGACAAAAGCAGAAAAGCATGAAAAAATAAATAAGTTTTAAGCTGACGGTTAAACTTACAATTATGTTGCCTCTGCTTTAAAAAAGAAGGGGGCATTAACATAGATACCCCATAATTCTTATGTGTTTACATACCTAAACTTTGTTTTTTTACATTTATACCACCCAAATCTTTTGTATCACATAAAAAATACCACAGATTTAATTTTTAGAAAGTGATGTACACCTTTTCATGCATAGGATAAAAGGTGGTATCTATTATGTATGCAAACATTGAAGTTTGGGTGGTAGATACCTAAATATATAGGAATTGAGTGGTATGTATGTAAATCTTCAAAAAAAAAAAAATCCTAAATTTGCGCTTTATTTATACCAAGTTCAACATTCCACTACTTTTAAAAGATCAGAAGAATTTAATGAAAAAGACTCTCTTACAAGAGCACAGCCCAAAATAATCTTACCTAAAGAGAGCTTAACAATATGTTTCTAATTTATCACGCAATCCTTTTCAGATGCATGAAACTCATAGATTTCTTTCCAGGTAGTTACAAATCGACATTACTCAAACCAGTGAAGAGTTAGTCCAATATAGAGGCCACCAGGAAAAGCTTTAGAAATGTAAATAAGACTATAAAACAGAAACGAAACCCTTTAAGTTAGTTGCTTTCTTGTCGGTTGAAATATATAAGAAGGTGCGTGTTAGATATAAAGAATTATTGCCAACAATTTTACAGAAAACAGAAAAAATAATTATTCACTACAATGTGGTAGCATAGAAGAAAAAGACCAAAAAAAGCAATAAACAGAAATGCTAGTGCGCATTAGAAATGCGTCAGCACAAATCTCAAGAAAATTCATCAGACTAAGCGATGAAAGTATGGTCAGAAAGGGCCCACAGAAGGAAGATCAAAAAGTCTCATTAATTGAAGATTAAAGGAATTGACTGACCAAGCATATACCACTTAAATCAAGACCAGATGCCAGCCGAATGCAAGTCGTTCGATCTAGGGATCAAGAGACACCAAGTTGAGGGAAGACATTAACCCAACTCTCGCCCTAGCATCACCAACCATCTCACAAAAAACCCCCGATATTCTTCATCAAGAGACGGAGGGTACTACCACGATTCATGCCACAAACACCCCAAAGGAACTTTGGTCAACGATTGAGTTATGAGTTGAATTATGATGATCACTCTTTGTCTGACGGCCTAATGTCAACCTGGCGATGGAAGCTCTTTATCTAGGGTTCAATATTCTACAGTTGCACCAGAGCAGCCAACCAACATAACCATGTCGACTGATCCAAGTCCAACTAAATCGAAGATCGTCAAAAAGCCGATTGGCAACCTAACTCAGCATAGTCAAACAAACAATCCTTACCAAACCAAGACCCGTTCTTCTCAACTGACAAACCAATAGTATAGTCGAGCATACCTCATTTATGTAAATACCTTGTAACTCCCCCATTAAAGCAAAGTAAGTGTGATATGATGCAAATGCCCCCCCCCCCCCCCCCTCTCCTATAAACAACGGGCTCATTTATACAGTAAGGGCTAATTGAAAATTCATTTTACTATTCATTATCGTGCACTATATTTCTCTCTTTCTCTCTATCTCATATTTTACGCTCGTGTGACTCTCAGGCATATTTAGATTCAATATCCTAAAAGATTCAGTGAGCGTGTATCAAATGGGCGATGAAACTAGGTGAGAAATCCCCTACGTCCCCTGGGACGCAATCAAGTTGCAAACAGTTGTGAACTTCTTGACAATTTTTTTTTTTTTTTGAGTCAAGTGAGTCATGCGAAGGATCCACTACTGACAACCAAACTTGAATTTTATACATCAATGAATCCTTTAATCAAATAGAGGAGTGGATCGGGATTGCTCTAAGTAGTCCGATAGAAAAGCACCTCCACCATTCAGTCGCAATAGAATTTGAAGTCACAAACAACCAGACGGAGTATGAGGCCCTAATTGCATGCATGTGTTTGGCCTATGAGATGATGGGCACCTGATATCTCTTTGCAAAATCAGACTCCCAGTTAGAGGTAAATCAGGTGAAGAGAGAATTTAAAGTCAAAAATAAGATAATGGTCAAATACATCAACAAAGCTAACATGAAAATCTAGAAATTTGTCAACTTTAAAATTGACCACATTATCAGGGTACATAATCAAGTAGTCAATCTTTTGTCAAAGTTCATTTGCATTGGGGGAGGGAACACCACAGAAATTAATCTAGTCCGCTCTTCTTGGCCAATAGACCAACAAGATAGCCGAGCATAGGCTCGTTTATATAAATGCCTACAATACCTTGTAACACCCCTATTAAAACAAAGATAAGTAAATACATATGTCAATTATACCTTCCTCTCCTATAAATAAATGGCTCATTTCTTCAGTAAGGGTTAATCAAAAATTTATTTTACTATTCATTACTGTGCACTCTCTCTTTCTCTGTCTCTTACTTTACGTTTTATTCCTTGGTTGTGAGTCCCAAAAATACTCAGATTTAACAACCTAAAAGGTTCGGTGAGTGTGAATTAAATCACCTGTTAAAATCCATTCTCACTCGACCAAGGTATTTCAGTCAGCTCCTCAAATGGGCGATGAAATTGAGTGAATTCGACATCCCTTGCGTCTCTGAAGCTGCAATCAATTTGCAAACAGTGGCGAACTTCTTCACAAATTTTTTTGAGTTATGCGAGTCGACTAATGATCCACCATCGGCATCCAAATTTGAATTTTATACATTGATGAAGCTTCTAATCAAACAAAGGTGTGGATCAGGCTTGCTTTAAGTAATCCAACAGAAGAGCATCTCTACATTCAGTCGTAATAGAATTTGAAGTCACGAACAACCAGGCGGAGTATGAGGCCCTAATTACAGGCCTACATCTGGCCTATGAGATGGGCGACAGACATCTCCTTGTAAAATCACACTCCCAGCTACTGGTGAATCAGGTGAAGAGAGAATTTGAAGTCAGAAATAAAATAATAGCCAAATACCTCAATAAAGCTAGCACGAAGATCTGAAAGTTTGTCCACTTCAACATCGAGCACATTGACACGGTACATAATCAAGTAGTTGATCTTCTGTCAAAGTTCATTTGCGTTGGAGGAGGGAATTCCTCAAAGATCAATCCAGCTAACTATTGAGAAACACGAGGCAATGGAGGTGGAAGCTGAAGAAACAAAATGTTGGATGGATCTCTACATCCACTTCTTAGAGACCGAATAGCTCATAAAATAGATCACAGACCCTAAGAGGTTCAAACTCAAAGCCATTCAATGTCTCGTGATTGAAGAAAAACTGTTCTAAGAGTCTGCAACTTCACTTTACTTGAGGTACATTGGAGAGAACCAAATAGAAGTCCTCCGAAAGCCACTTTGGAGAGTGTGGGAGTCACTCTGGAGGAAAGGCCATGATGCATAGAATCCAATGATAGGGTTGCTTCTGACCAACCCTCCTGAAAAATGTGGAGGAATTTTATGAAAGATGTGAGTAATACAAGAAGTAAGCACCACTGCAGCATCAACCAACCCATAGATTGTAGACGATCGTCAGCCCTTGGACTTTTATCATTTTAGGGCTCGACATCTTTGGATCTTTTCTACCATCAAAGGATTGACACAAATTTTATTTTGTCGTCGTGGACTAAGAACTGAATCGAAGCAAATGCACTCACCCAGATAACTGTGGAGGTTGTTTGAAAGTTCAAATGGATGAACCTCAATTATCGATACGGTTTATCTCGTCATCATTACTGACAATGGAATGCAGTTTGCTGACCAAGGGATAAAAGACTTCTGCTAGAGTTAGAGAAAGAGCCTAAAGTTTATGTCAGTGCATCATCTCAGACCTAGCAGTCAAACAGAACCCACCAACAAAATAATTTTGAATCTACTAAGAAAGAAAGTCAAAGGAACCAAGGAGAATTGGGCAGAGATCCTCCCGTCAGTCCTTTGGTAAAACCGAATGATGCCACCAAATAGCAACCGACCGAGCAGCATGGAATATAAGCAATGTTGTCAGTCAAATATAATTATCACAACCATCAAGTACTGGCGGTCTCCAC